TAGAATAGAATAGAATAGAATAGAATAGAATAGAATAGAATAGAATAGAATAGGAATTCTTTATTGGCCAAGTGTGATTTGTATACATAAGGAATTTGTCTCTAGTGCATAAGCTCTCAGTGTACATACGAACAACAAAGGATGATGATTATGATTATGATGATTAGATAAGATAGTAGATTTTAAATTTATTTCTGCCATTATTTTAATGTTTTGCTTTTGCCAAATAATTTTTCCAGTTTTCTAGGTACAGAAGAGTAGTACTTTATCAACATCAGAACTGTTTTATTCAGGATTTACAACATTCCTTAGTCAGGAAAAGATACGCTACAAACAATTTTCTAATTTTTATTTTAAACATTATCTGATTACTTAAAAATTATTCTCAGCTGCTCCAGTGTTGTATATTTACATACCTAGCTTATGGAAAGGACATAATCCAGAAAGACTTCACAACTACACAAGTGACTAGAAAACAAATTTAAACCCAAATATCTGAACCCTACTGTGCCATTATTTGCAAACAAACTGGTCCGTTATTGTTTTCTTCCTTTCAGGTTTCATTTTGAAAGGCCTCTGTGCAGTTTTATTCTGTGATGTATTGGATGAATGGTAGTTTGTAACTATAACCGAAACTAACAAAGCATTTTTTTCTCTTTTATATAATTGATGGTGATAATGATAATGGTGAAGCAACAAGAGGCTGAGGACACCTGCAAATTATTTCATCATGAATTTAGCTGCAAGTGACTTTCTGATGTCTGCAACTCAAGCTCCAGTCTGCTTTTTCAACAGTATGCATAAGGAGTGGGTACTTGGAGACGCAGGTACTTTCCCAATAGTTTTACATTTTCCAGCTGCATCAAGTTTCTCCTTGAAGTGTTATCTGCAAGTGGAATTATAAGGATCCTTTATCAACAAGGGTGTAATTTTTTTTAACCATCCCTGACCTTTGATCAACAAATTAATTCCTTTTTTCCTACCTCTCCCAAAGGAAAGGAATTTGTAATATCTAATGATTGCACAATTATCTGTTAACATGACGAATGATGGATAACAATAACTAGAAGTTCATTTCCCATTATTACGAAAAAGCTGTATATAAAAAGATGAAATGAGATATAACAAGCTAATATATGAGATTCATGTATTTGTTCGTTATATTAATATAACACCTAATTCCATATCTTAATCCTAAGAGCAGTCCTAGAATTATAGTTAAAATGGTCCATTATGACAATAAAAATCCATCAATTTGTTCAGTACAGAAATGCGAATTAAAGCAATCCAATGGTTGAACAAAGAACTTTTACTTGAATGTATCAGTAAAAAGGAATTCATTGTTCCCTAAGATAATTATTTTTATTACCAAATTGCTCTTACAGTTAAAAAAAACCTTTTTCTAAGATTCAGTGGAGTCTTCCTGCTTTTAAATTAACATCATTATTCTTTACCCAATAGTATTTGGAATCATAGTTGGAAGGGATTATTAATCCAACCCTCCTGTCCTGTGCAGGAATCCATTACTAAAGCATCCCTGACATACATCCATTCATCAACGGCTTAAATACATCCAACAAAAGAGAATCCAGTTCTTCCTATTATAGGTGGTTTCATAGGTGAACAGCTTTCATCATTTGGATCTATTTCCTGATGTCATTAAAATCTGCTTCTTTGTAATGGTTTTTCAAGGAAGGTTGTGAGTTTCTATGGAAAGTGCCTTTAAGTATTTTAGAATTGCTGCCATATCTCCTCTTGTTACTGTTCATCAAAGATGATATGCCAGTTTTTTTTCAGAACTTACTCTCAATACTTAATCTCCAGTACTTTTTGATCATCCTTCTTTCGCTCCTTTTCCTCAGTTCTATTTCTCTGATCTCTTTTAAAAAAAATGATCCCCAGAATAGTACTTAAAGTGGAGCCTCACTTATGCAAAATAGAGTAGAACTTTTATTACTTTGTGTATAGAATTGAATAGAATATTCTTCAGTCATAAAGCAAGATATGTAGATAAACTATGGATTAGCAATAGAATATAGTAAAAAAATAAAACTTGAACCATGAAGTTCAATCATATTAATCTACTTGGCATCAATGATTCCTAAGAATTAAATGTTTTCAGAACTTCTGAAAAAGATACATTTTTACAACTTTTCAACAGGTTAGAGGGGAGCCCCCACAGACATTGCACATTTTTGTGTCCCTTCTGTTGTACATTTTCATAAATGGGGGGCCTCCTCTGATAGTCTGAACTGAGTAAACAGAATCTGTTTGGTAATAGATATACAAACTATAATCCATATAGAACTTTATACGTGAAAACCAGCACCTTGAGCTACAGATCTCCCATACTTTATATCTTAAGAGCTGCCTTATCTTAAAATAATAGGCTATGTTTATATATCATGATCATATATATGGCATATATCCATGATGGCGAACATATGGCATGCGTGCCCGAAGTGGCATGCAGAGCCAACTCTCCAGACATGGCAATCGTCGCCCTTTGCTCTTCCAGGCACGTGCCAGCCAGCTGTTCTTCATGCGCGCAAGGGTTCTGGAAATCGGCAAAGCAGCTCCCTGGCACACATGCGCGCACCAGCCAGCTAGTCTTCACACATGCATGCGTGTTTGGAAGACCAGGTGGCCAGTGTGCATATGCATGCCAGAAATCTGAGCTTCCAGTTTCCAGCACTCCCCTGTGTGTGCACTGGGGAGCTGCTCTTCTAGTTTCCCATGCACATACTCCCGTTTTGGCACTCGGTGCAGAAAAGGTTCACCACCACTGGCATATACAGTATTTGTTGAATTAAACATTAATGACTTAATTTACAGAGTATGAAATCAAACAGATTACTATCCCCAAATCGAGACCATAACATAGTTCAAATTTTAGTCTTGATCAGTGGGATGGGAAGATCACTGAATTACCAATTCTAAGAGTGTCATATTCTCAACCTCTTGGCTTTTTGGGAGCAGGAAAGTATATGTTTCAGTTGAGCTATGCCCAGGCTGTACAATCTTTCTGAACTCTGGTGTGTTCCTTTGTCCTTTGAGTTGTTTCCAGTCCTGACATCACTCCTTCATTGTGACCTCCTGATGCAAATCGTCTTTCCAGGGTCATCCATAATTCAGGCCTATGTATTATATAATACATTTTTCTAAATCAGCACTTGCATAATAAAAAACAAATCATATATTTCTCATACTTTCTCAACAGCAAAACCCAAAATTACTAAATTTTGTCCATGGTCATTTCTGTACTTCCAATCAGAATTCTTTCAATGCAGGCACTCTTAACAAACCAATTTACTGTAATTTTTGTGCAGATAGTCCTTGATTTATAACCACAATCAAGCCCAAAATTTATGTTGCTAAGTGAGACATTTGTTAAATAAGTTTTGCCCCATTTTACAACCTTTCTTGCCATGGTTGTTAAGTGTGTCTCTGCAGCTGTTAAATTAGTAACATAGTTGTTAAGTAAATCTGATTTCCCCATTGACTTTGCTTGTTGAAAAGTTATAAAATGTGATCACATGACCTTGGGACACTGCAACCATCATAAATATGAGTCAGTTGCCATGTGTCTGAATTTTGATCACCTGACCATGGGGTTGCTGCAATGCAGTGTGAAAAATGATCATGTCACTTTTTCCAATATTGTGATAATATTCAAAATTATGGTTTGCTTACTGAATAAAGTACAAATGAATTTAGTTCATGGATTAGTTCATTAAAGTATTTGGACTTAAGAAGGTTGCAAAATGGGCAGAGCAATTATATATACATCAACAAGAATTTGCATTTGGAAGTTTTTCTTTTTTAATAATGTTATGCCTGTTTTACGCTTACAATTCATACATTTTCAGATTTAAAATCGCAATATGCAGTGTGGCCATTTTTCAGCAGTTATGGCGTCCAAGGATCATAAAAAGGAGACCCAAAAGCCTCGTGTATTTGCCAATCGCCATCTTTAATAGATCTTAGTGGGTAGATTCATGCAAGTCTGTTCAATCAAAATCAGACAAACCACAAAACAAATAAGCGATATATGTGACTTTACGGAAGAAATAGAAATCAGGAAATATAAACTTTAAAAATGTGGAAAAAAGTCACATGGTGTATATATAGTTCTATAAAATAGTATACGTAAAGAACTCCTTATCCTCTGAACTATGAGAAATATTTACGGATGACTTTTTCTTGATTTTTTCCCACCCTCCTCCTTTCCCATTGCAAACTAAACATCTTGTGTTTTTGTTTTGCTCTTTGTTTGCCCCAGGTTGTAACTTCTATGCTTTTTGTGGTGCTCTCTTCGGAATAACCTCAATGATGACCTTGTTAGCTATTTCGGTGGATCGCTACTGTGTGATCACAAAACCTCTCCAGTCCTTAAAAAGAAGTACAAAGAAACGCTCTTATATAATCATCATGTTTGTCTGGCTGTACTCACTGGGTTGGAGCGTATGTCCATTATTTGGGTGGAGTATGTTATCAGTTTCCTTTCATTTGTTTTCTTTCTTTCTTTTACTCTTGTATGTATATGTGTGTGTGCATATACTCACTATATGTGTTCTAATACTGCCCTCCAATTGGGCTGTACAACAGCTCCCACTCTCCCCATCAGAATATTGGCTGTATTTGTATATTTGTGTGGTATAAATCATACCGATAAGATTGATCAGTATTTTACTTGCAAGCTATTTTGGCAGGGTTTCTATTGTTTGGTTTATTATATATTTGATGAGTGTGTATATGTATATATAGGTATCTGGCATATATATTGGTATGTATAGGACAGGGGTGTCAAACTCGATTTCATTGAGGGCCACATCAGGGTTGTGTTTGACCTCGGGGGGGTGTGCGTGGCTAGGGGGGCATGGCCAGCATATCACTCACATCAGAGGAGGTGCCTGTGGTGGCCTGAGCGCTCTGGCAGCGAAAATGGGCTCCCAAACCCCATTTTCAGCTGCGACGGCATCTTGCAACCCTCTGCCAGCAAAAAGAGGAACTCAGGAGGGCTGCGCACGACCCTCGCAAGCTCTGTTTTCGCTGTCAGAGGCACCATGGGCCAATCCTTCACTCTTTCCAGGGTGGCCCCGTGGGCCAGATCTAAGCACCCTATGGCCCGCATCTTGCCCTCAGGCCTTGAGTTTGACACCTCTGCTATAGGAGGTTTCTACAAAAATACATTCAAAAAATGCACACATTTTTTTTTCTGCTAGAAACATAGGGCTACAGGTTGCTTTCTTGATAAGCTTGACTGAATAATTAGATTTTTTTACTCTGTCTTTTATTACTTTATAAGAAACTCAGGGAGGCAAACACACTCCTTCCTCCTCCTGTTTTCCCCACAACAACAATCCTGTATGATAGGTTAGGCTAACAGTGAGTGATTGGCCCAAAGTCACCCAGCTGATTGTTGATATCTAAAGCAAGACTAGAACTCACATTCTGCCGGATTCTAGCCTGGTGCCTTAACCATTAGATCAAACTGAACCTCCTTTCATATTAGTTGATTTGATTTCCAAAAATTTAAGTGGAACTGAGGATTTCTTTATTTAGATTGGAATAATATCATACACAGCAATAAAAAATATGATTTAATTAAGTCTGAGAGATCATGTCAACCCAAAAGACTTTTAATATATTTCTCTTAATAGATGTGCTAAATGCAGCTCAAAGAGTTTTAGTGTGGTAATAAAATTAAACAAATACAATTGGGTGACTGAAAGATCCAATTATATCATTTTTAGTAGCTGTGTTGTTCATTCATCTAGGTTTGAATAAGTTAAGTTAGAGAGTTATTGTCTCTGTTGTATGTTTCACCAATTAATATTGCATTTTCCTATCCTCCCCCATTGATGGAAAGAACATATTTTGCAAGTATCCAGAACCATATATTTTAATCACTAATTAATATCTAGTCATATTATTGAAAACTGACTAGGGAAGAATTGTTATCAATGGATTTAGTGACTCACAACTAATTCTAAGCAAAACTCTAATTAGCAGATGCTGAATTTTCAAGAGCCTTTTAAATCTTTTTTTTTTCAGCATAAAAACATCTGGTTCTGGGTTAAATTAAAGGATTTACTGCAACGTCTCTGTTTTTTATAAACATCAGCTTAGGAAGATGTACTTTTCTCTCCATTATAACCTGAAGCAATAGGAAAGCATCACACATTGGCTTTGCAATGTAATTCCATATATATAATCTGGTTTAAGAATGCACCAGTGAACCTTCTTGGCATCTTTTGAGCTACTCGTAGCTCTGGTGTACTTAGCAGAACGTCTGTGGATACAGTGTTATGTTAACAATCAGCATTAAAACTTTATGGCAGTAACCCTGTCCAGATGTTACAGGTTTTATCTCTCTTAAGCTTAAATAAGTCACAGCAAGGGAGTATGACAGTCAAGATATCCCAGAATGACCCCAATTCTAAGGATAGTGGGGAATTAGTTAATGTTTCATGTAAGACTTTGAAACACTTCTCCATGATCACACCTCTTCTGGTTGCACTGCCAACAGAACAAAATCATGAAGGATTTTCATTAAAAGACTACCTTCTCTGTATGTAGAATCTAACTGCAAATTACAGGATTTCACTCTTTATATCCGGAATTTAAGTAGAAGTCCTGTCCTGGGAACTCATAAATTAAAGTATAAATCAATGTTAAAATAAAGTCCACAAATAAAATCTCATTTTAAAAAACCCTTCCTCAAAGGCAGTTTAAAATAGGCAAAATATTTTGCATACATGTATGGAAAGGTATAAAGCCACTGGGAGTGGAATTGCACAGCTGAAGGATCAGTTCAATCGTCAACTGACTGATGATCAAAAATGCTCCTGTTTGTATTTTTTAAAAACATTTCAATATTTATGAGCATAGAAGCATTAGAAATTAAATAAAATTATTCCATAATTTAGCCATTGCATTCTATACAAATCTTCTACATGGCAAACATACACACGTCTCCTATATTTTTAAAAGTTTTAAACCATTTTGAACATAGAAGAATCCAAAATGAAGTAAAATAAATCCTGTAGTTTAATCTCTGTGTAGTTTTCTGCAAATATTTTTCAATTTCTAGTGATTCTGCTTTTAGGACTAACGTCTGAAGGAACATTTAGACACAGCTTAATTTGTTCTGTCAAGACTAGCATCCCCTTGTTGAGATTCCATTTTTTTTAAAAGAAACCTCTGTTGATTTTCCATTTGAGTAAGTTCTTATCAAGTTATTAATAAGTTCTTATTCAAATATAAAAATAAGTTCTTATTCCAATGGAAAAATCATCAGAAATTTCATTTAGAAAAATGGTTCTAGGTCTTGAATCTCATCTATGAGATGAATTTCTCTGAATAGTGCAAGGCATCTGTAGGAACAGGTTTGGAAATGTCTTTACTGCAAACTAATCATTTGAATAAGTTATTTAATGTATACGTTCTGATTCAAATGGCCGGTTTGCAGTAAAGACATTCCCAAACCTGTTCCTACAGGTACTTTGGACTACCAACATTCAGAGCCATGCTCACTGACATTGATGGGTATTTTAGCCAATACAAATACTGTCAAAGGCCTTCTAGAATGTGAAACTTCATAGCACAATAAATAATTTTATATTTTGGGACTAAGATTTAAAGATAAGATGAAGACAACTACATCTATTGAACGGTGTTGCTGTTTCCTTCTTAAATAACAAATTCTTACATCTGTTGTTACTTATTTTATGCCCTATATAATAAACATTTAATTAATATTTAGGTTCCTATATCCCAGAAGGTTTGATGATATCCTGTACATGGGACTATGTAAGCTATTCTCCATCAAACAGAAGTTACACCATGTTGCTATGTTGGTGTGTGTTCTTCATTCCTCTTATGATAATCTTCCATTGCTATTTATTCATGTTCCTCACCATAAGAAGTACAGGCAGGTAAGTGTATGACTGAAAAAATTAACTATTAGGAATTCAAGTACATTCCCCTTGATTATAAGCTATAATGGTGCATTAAGAACTGGAAAGAGATTCATATTCTTACCAAATAAATATTCCTCCATTATCAGTAAAGACAATGTTATATTATATCCTATCACAGAGAAGCCACAACTAAGTGAATAAGAAAGTCTCTGCCATAGGAACTTAGGAGATCAAATTTAATTTGATCCTAATAAGTGCACCATAGTGCCTACCACCCCTGTCCTATTGTCCCCATTTATTCATACTTATTTCCTGTATTCTTACTCATGTTTATACTTATACCTATTATCTTGTGAGCGACTGACAAACCAAATAAATAAAATAAATAATTCTAGACCAGAAAAACAATCCAGACTCTAAAAGGTGGTCATACAAAATCTGTTAGCTGAAAGCTTAGAGATGAAGATCAGACTGTGATTCTTAGCTTGTCTCACCTTAATTTGAATGCTGAATGTATGGTTCGTGTAAATATGACTTTTATTAGTTTTGGTACCTTAGATAAGTTCAGAAATGCTTATTGTATTGAATCATGACATGCTTGGTTTTCTTTCAGTATTTTACTTATTTCCATTTCCTGTTTTTCTTTGTTTTTGTTTTAATTTTGCAGTTTAGTTTTCTTTTGAATAGATTAGATTAAATATCTATAAGCATTGTATTCAATTGTTATGGAGCGGTGCCTTAGCCTAGAGGTGGAGCGCTCACCTCACAATGAGCAGGCTGTGAGTTCGATCCTAGGTAAAGGCGGATATTTCTCTTTCTGGGCACAATGAGAATATATCTGCTGAACAAAACTCCGCATTGATGTTAGGAAGGGCATCCGGCCAGTAAACACTAGCTCCATTCAGTTGCCCAGACTCTATCCCGCAAGAGATTATAGGACTGCTAAAAGAAGATGATTATATTCAATTGTTATCACTGGTACTATTTAAATAACACTCAATATAAATTAGAAAAGGAACATTAAATAACCGACTATTGTTAGCTTTCATCCAAGCCAGCACACTATTTCATGAAGCCATGAAGAAGCAACCAACATCTTTCAAATCCCTATGAGTTTATAACCAGTATTGTAAATAATTGCCATCATTTTTCTTATTCCCAAGACTTTCTGGCATCACTTCTGAGTATTTAAATACAGACCGCCCAGCAACCTAAGAAGAAGAAAAAGTTAAAACTTTGGTGACTAGTATAACCTGCAGCGATACCAGGTGATTGATCCCCAGCATGGCAGAATGAATTCCTAATCAAAGGCCTGCTGTTTTCTCATTCTTTTACAGGAATGTTCAGAAATTAGGATCCACCTCTAAACGGAAAAAGTCAAGCTCGCAGAGCATAAAGAATGAATGGAAACTAGCAAAAGTTGCCTTCGTAGCCATTGTGGTTTATGTTGTATCCTGGTCTCCGTATGCTTGTGTCACCCTGATTGCATGGGCTGGGTAAGTGTCAAATCACCATCTCAGTCAAGAGTAGAAAAAATAGAAAAAGAGGATAAAATGAGAAAGCACTAAACTCTTTGACAATTGTCAAATATGTCTCTCACTTAGTTACTTGGTGAGTGAGGCATTAACTATAACAAGGTCCTTGGACTCTCTGAGCATGATTGTTTACTTGCAGACATTTCATTATGCAAAGTAAGTAATGCCACCAGTGCCCAGATGATATTACCTAGTTTGGTGATGAAACGTCTACAAGAAAACAACCAAGCTCGGAGAATGTCAAGGTCCCCTCATTTCAACCCTAGACTATAATATTCTCCCTTTGTCAGTAACTGTAATAAATATTGTGCTCTGCCAGGGCAAAAAAATCCTGAATACTTCAGTTTAAATAAATACCAAGTTAGACAAAGTATTTTTCCCCTTGAAATATTCTTTACCGAGAAATGCATCACAGTTGAAAGGAATAATTCATGGTTTATCTTGTTACTCCCCCCCCCCCAAGAGCTTCCTGCCATCTCTTTCTATTTTTTGAATTGTTTTAAAAACAGTATTGTGAAAACATGTAAAATATTTATTGTATGGAACCTTCTATTTTTAAAATATTTAAAAGCATATAAGAGACACATATGTCATGGAAAGTTTTTCAGTATCAGTATCTCCCATCTGCCCTTTGTATGTATCATAATGTCATATTTCCAATTTTCTCTCTCCAAATTCCCAAAATTAAATTTATAAAAAGTCACTGAAGACATTGATATATGTGAAAGCACTGCAGCAGATCATCAAATATTCAACCATGTGCTTAGTTAAAGGTCTAGTGATTAATCTAAGTTTTTTTCTTATTTCTAGTTATGCCAGGGTCTTAACTCCATATTCTAAGTCTGTGCCTGCTGTTATTGCCAAAGCTTCAGCAATTCACAATCCTATAATTTATGCTATTATCCACCCAAGTTACAGGTATTGTAAATTCACTCTTAACACACTACTTTTATACTCTGATATATTTGAAGTGAAATTAATCCACTGTTGGATAGTAGGGCATTTTAATTTAAATTACTTCATTTCTGCCTGGATTCCTATATTTTTAGCAATTTAACTAGTAACACTATCTTTTCTGTCTGTACAGAATTTAAAAGAAAAATGAGTTTAAAATGTATAAGTTCCTCATCAAAAGACAGTAGCTCAAGGCTGATCTTGTCTGAATTTATCAGCTAAAATAGGATAGACCAGCAAATACGTGAATGAGAGGGCTATCCCCTAAATATCAGAGTTGTAAACTAATCCTGAAAGTTAGAAAAACATCATGGAAGAAGGTTATAATAGTTTCTATATTGCTGTCAAAATCTACCAAATGGAGTATGGAATCAAAGGGATTCCAGCTCAATTTTGTCCTCTTTATCAGGACAATGCCATAATTTTCCAAACTGATGTGTTCTATGTGTCTTGGAACCAATGATGAACATTGATTGACATACTGTTTGCCATAACCAGTGGAAGCATTATTAATGGCAAGAAGTCCATAATGTATGGGGCAGTAAAAGAACTTTATGGACCCCTTTTTTTGAAACTTGTACTCCCCAAAAGTCAGTTCAGTCTCAAATGTTCTTGCATTCCACATGCTAAATTGGTCCTAGTTGACAATTATAGCAATTTGGGATATTACATTTCTTTTTGCTTTTTCTTTTTGTGTGTATGCTTGTTGTTCATTACTATGAATCTGTCTGGACTGAAGTAGGTAGTAAATATTATTACATAAATAACATACATTTACAGGATAAATACTTCTTTATATAATTCCTTAATCTGCAAGATTAATATGGATAGCAAAATAGAATTACCTTCCACGCCTTTTTTGAAGAACTTAGTAATATACTATTTTTATTCCATGCCTAATCTTATGTTGTTGTAGTGCAAGTTTCACTTTCCATCTTCCATATTTTCATATTCCTTCATCCCACATAGCTAATTATTTTAATTGGATTTCCTGATCAGAAAGACTGCATTTACAGAACTGTGTCTGTGTGCCATCAACCCTGTTAATTGCTGTAATTTGCTGTAACCATACATGCAATATACAAGCATGTGGATTACAAAGTAGCTAGACTCAGAATAACAGGGAACTGAAAACATATGAAGAACGGTTACAGGAACTGGGCATGGCTAGTCTAGTAAAGAGAAGGACCAGGGGAGACATGATAGCAGTCTTCCAATATTTGAGTGGCTGCCACAGGGAGGAAGGGGTCAAGTTATTTTCTAAAGCACCTGTAGGCCAGACAAGGTATAATGGATGGAAAATGAACAAAGAGAGATTTAACTTGGAAATAAGGAGAAGCTTTCTGACAGTGAAAACAACCAACCAATGGAACAGAAGTTGCCCTCGGAAGTTGTAGAAGAACCATCACTTGAGACTTTCAAGGAGAGATTGGACTGCTGTTTTTCAGAAATGGTATAGGGTCTCCCACTTGGGCAGGGGGTTGGACTGGATGACCTACAAGGTTCCTTCCAACTCTGATTTCCTGTTATCTGTTAACTACTAGGGTTAAGATTTTACAATGGCCTGAAGAATAAGGTAGTATTAAAATACTAAATTTCTACCAAGCCAGCTGTCTAGCTTGGAGTTGAAGGAAGAAAATAAATTTGCTGCAACTTGGCTAAAGATAGTTAAACCAATGACAAATTCTTATTTGTTTATAAACAAAGGAAGCAGTTTTTTAAGTTAAGAAAATGTCCCAGGTGAACTACATTTGTATCTTTGATGGCCATTATATTGTAGCTGCAATCCTTGAATAGGATCATACATTTACCTAATTTAATTTATTAATTTAACAGGCATACAAATTTAATAATAAATAAATAAATTGCCAAACATGAGAGAAATGATAATATGTTTTGAGACCTTGACATGCATATAGGTCAATCCTCACCAAATAAGATTAAATGAACATGAACTATCTATGAATATTTCCTTTCACCCAGTTCTGAAAGGAAATATTCATGTTCATGTTTCATTTTAGACTAGAATAGAATTCTTTATTGGCCAAGTGTGATTGGACACACAAGGAATTTGTCTTTGGTGCATAAGCTCTCAGTGTACATAAAAGCTATAAGTGATAAATCGTGATCATAGTCATCATAAAAATACATTCATCATAAATCATAAGATACAACATTTAGTGATAGTCACAGGATAGTAAATAAGCAATCAACATAAATCATACTAGGAAACTAAATAATAAAACAATATAAATTGTAAAGATACAAGCAACAAAGTTATAGTCATAAGTAGAAAAGGAGAGTGGTAATAGGAAAGATGAGAAGAATAATAGTAATATAGCCTTACTAAATAGTTTGACAGTGTTGTGGGAATTAGTTGTTTAGCAGAGTGATGGCATTGGGGGAAAAACTTTTAGAATCTCATTTCTTTGTTTGTTTTCTGCATTTTAGGAAAACGATTCGAAGAGCTATTCCTTGTTTGAGATTTCTCATACGAATATCTGCAAGTGAAGTTTCCACAAGTTTTGCAACTTCTTCCTTCCGGTCTTCTATGTCTAGTCGTGTCTCTTTCGTATCCAAGAACAAAAGCAGCGACATTTCCGCCATTTCTGCTACAGAAAAAGTTAAGCTTGTCTCATGGAGAAGAGGCTGATAGTCTCTCAGAGAAAAGCTTCAAGATCACCTTGAACATGCCATGATTAATTATGCATGGGCACAAACATTCAGACTCATGTCTCTTTGGTACACTTCCTCACTCTAACCTGTTTCAAGGTTAATCCATGTAATGAGCATTTTTGTAATGGGGTTGTTCAAAGAAACTTCAACCAAATTGGTATTTAATTGCACCAATCTCTCTCTCTCTCTCTCTCTCTCTCTCCCTCCCTCCCCCCCCCCCCCCCCCCCCCCCCCTCTCTCTCTCTCTCTCCCTCCCTCCCCCCTCTCTCTCACACACACCTCTACTATCTATCTATTAAGATATCATTAGCTGTTCATCAGCCTACTAGCCTTCCATAGAAAATGAAGATAATGCTTTTGTTAATTAAGATCAGGACTATCTGAGAAAGGACTGTTACGCTAAATACTTCTATAGAAGAAAAAATATATATACTTCATCATAACACCATCCAATTTTTCTTTTCTTTTCTCCTTTCTTTCCTAGACTTGGAGTGATGTAGAGCTTGATCCTGTGGAGACAGTCCATACAAAATTGCAGCCACCTGAAAATAACTCGTTTTCAACAAATGCAGAAGAAAAAAGCGAACTGCCCATCAATGCACCAATTGAAGAAAAGGTTAAATCAATATTTTCTAATGTTCCTTTAAGTCTTACTAACAAATCTTTTGTGCAAGCCTAAAGGGGAATTCTTCCACCTATCACAACCTTATCCCTAACAAGAGCATAAAAATCAAATGCCAAGATAAAATACTAACATAATGAGTAGCACGTGTAATATAACTTATATTAACAAATAACAAAAATATAACTTAAGCTACTATAATATGCTAATTAACTATACAAATATAAATCTAAAATATTGCAATGTATGAATGCAGGTAACACATGTTACCTAAGACTGGCTAACTACATATAATAAAAAATGAAATTATGACTACAATAGAAGATCTTCCCAGTAATGTTACTTTACCCTTTTGTATTTGAATTTAATTTTTATTCATTTTAGTGGTTGTTCATCTTTTGAAAAGAAAAACTTGCCTAAACTGGATCCTTCCCTATACTGAGGATATGGTGTAAATTCCAAGAACTATTCCCTTTCTGGTTCTCCTTTTCATTTCTTCAGTTCCTAACTTCAATTGTTATATCCAGCTGCTTCAGATTCCGTACCAGGAATCAAAACAAAATGGCAGAACCCTCCTTTTAGTTTTTGAGGAGGAACATGAAAAAAGAAACTCCTTTTTTTCACAGAGAGTGGAAGTTTTGGCAACTGCTTTATGTAACTAAAGAATACAGAGAGCATCTTCTGCTAATACTGAACAGTTGACTGTAGAAGATTTCCTGAAATGTCAGTCAGTGATATTATTAGCTGGTGTGTGCAAACATATACCGTAGACCTTGTTTGAAAGATACTTCATTATCAGTGGGATTGAAGTCCCCATAAATATTCAGAGGAGTAGTTCAGAGCCTACTACAGCCAGTTATATGCATTCATTGGAAGTAACTGATACATAAAGCAATTCATGCATAGCAACTGACTAATTTTCTAAAAGAAATATGTGATTTCTACATCCAACTTCATCCTCCACCCTACACACTGTTCTTGTTGTCCTCTTGCAACAATATAGATTGGAAGCAGTCCAATAAATGTCTTGGTGCTTTGATTAGTATTATTTATTAGAAATCAAACTATAGCATAGAATTCCAGTGAGTATTTTGCTTCCAAATGAATAATCTGTATATCTATCTGTATCAATATTGAGAGAGAGAGAGGGGGGGGGGGCAGGCAGTTTACAGCAACAAGTTTATGTTTTATTCTTTTGTTAACATAAAAGGGAGGGGAATGGTTTCTTTTGAAAGAAAAGCCATCAGCTCCTTGATTTGGAAATTGCTGAACCTTTTGGAAACACTATTAGACTTCTTATCAATGTGAGAACAGCTCTCCCACTTTTGGTGGATAAGATTAATATTGTTAATTTCCACTGTTTTTCCCCCCACAGTTTTCAGTATCTCCCATCTGTCCAGAAGAACCACTCAAAAGATCCCTTAAACTAAATGCTCCAGAACTGCTTCTCTTAGCCAGCTCATTGAGAGCATCATCTCTTCCATTTGACTTGAATGCTAGCAGTAGAGAGAAAAGCATGGACACCTCTCAAGCAGAAGTCCATGAAGACCCAGTAAATAGCCAGGATTCCTTGGAAACTCCCATTCTCCCGCACTCCCATTCTCTTACCTCAGAAACTACTCTGTCTGAAGAGCAATCTTTGACTGAAAATATAGAGGAAGAAAACACTGGTCTGTACTCTGCTCCAGACAAAAACTACCTGTTACTCAAAGGAAGACTTCATTCATCTACTGGACCAGTTGAGAAGCTTGTGTCGTAAGCTTGTTTCTTTGAATGATGATACCAAAAACAAAAATTGCAGAACAGTTTAAATGAAACATTTCTTCGTGCAATGCTGAGGTCATTTCTGAACAAGACTGTCAACAAAACCACCTAGTAAATATGTCTTTATATAATTGGAATAAATTTTCATTCTTCCATTACTTTAACTGGAATGCTTAATATATGACTGTCCTATCACCAGTTTCCAAGAAAAAGTGTTAAGAGCATAAGTAGCTATTAATTTTAGCCTGCACACAAATTGTGACTTAATCTTTCCTCAGTTCAGTTATCAGCTGAAAGATGATGAGTCAGAAGGATGTGTTAGAAAATAGGCAGCAATCAACCAATAACTTGCTGACTTTTTATCCTACTAAAATAGTTAATTTGTCATCTGTCTTGAAATTGAAATAGTGACACAGAAATTGATTTGAAAATGGATGTATTTAAGGAAAAAATGACTCATGTCTTACTGACCAGCAGTCCTCAGTCCTTTTCATGATACAAGTGTACTTTTTTTAGGTTAAAATCAATTTATATTTAGATGATGGGCTATATTCATAAAAGTGAAAGGGGCAGGATAAAAATTAAATTTAAATTAAATGATAAGAGTTAATATTATTACTTCCCGTGTATTTAACTACAGAGGAGTGGCAACTTTTGGAGTGAAATCAGGTATAATCTGGGCATCCTCCTGGACTCATGACTCAAGAAACCAATGGGAGTCATGGCCAGGAGGGTCTTTGTGCAATTTGGGTTGTGTGCCAACTTATTCCCTTTCTTGGACCAACAATCCCTGCTCACAGTCACCCAATCCCTAGTCATCTCATGTCTTGACTATTGCAACACGCTCTTACATGGAGCTGCCCTTGGAAAGTATCCAGAAGCTTCTATTACTTCAAAATGCAGCAGCCTGCATGCTTTTGTACAGGTCTAGATGTTCACATCTGACATCTCTCTTCCGGGAGTTGTATTGGTTCTCAATGTGCTTCCAGGTTCTAGTCAAGGTGCTGGTTGTCATTTTCAAAGCCCTACGCATCTTGGGGCCAAGTTATTTAAAGGACCATCCTTTTCTGGTCACATCTACCCAACCCATCAGAATGGGGAGGCAGGGAATGCTACTGGTCTCCTCTCCAAAAGAGGTCTTTGTGGGCCTTCTCCATGGTAATTCCCTCTCTATGGAATATCATTCCCACAGAGATAATATTGGCCCCCATTTTGACACCATTTTGCGAGGCACTGAAGATATTTTGCCAATGGGCCTGGGGATCCCAGACTGGAATGGAACCCCTCAAATGGCTCATCCAATTGTTATCACAAGAATGTAGGGGATGATTATTGCTTTTTTGTTTCTATATTGGGTTTTTACCCTTGTAAGCCGCTCAGACTCACTGAGTGAGTTGGAGCGACGGCCATATACATTTTCTTAAGTAAATAAAAAATGTATATGGGGATCCAAACATTTGGAAAGCGTCAGTTGACTTAGAAAATGGACATCATTCATTTGGCCAGAAAATAAGATTTGTTTAAGAAACTGTTTAAGGGCCAACTTCCCAATTAATCTGTATTATTCAACTTCATTTATAAAACTTTATGGCTTTTCACAATGTTTTTATACATACTTCTTTTCATTTCAAATGTAAAGGTGTCAAGCACATGATCAAACACGCCCCCTTATCCCATTGGCAGGAACTAGACAAAGATACCATACTACCATCTTTTGTATTTCTCTAGTATTATATCAGTAAGAAAATACAATATATATATATACTAAAAAAAATGTGTTTCATAATTCATAATTCATGAACTGCTGAACTCCCAAAATAAGCTTTACTCAAGAGGGACAATAAAAGCATTTTAGTGCTCAAATATAGTTGTCTCTTTTTGTTGACCACAAGTCGTTTATGGTTTTTTTCTCATGGACATTTGATTCTGGTTTCCAAAACTTTTCATCATTGATCATACTAGGGTTTGGATAGTGACAATGTTGGTAGGGCTGCCTTAAAAGGCTAAAATATTGTGCACATGTATATGTTAAAACTCTTGGCTGGACAGTCAGCTGCTGACATGCAGTTAATTCGATATGCATGAAGTATCTGTTGATGTAGAAACAAAGTTAGAATGTCCAACTGTGAGATACATATGAATGAAAATGCTGCTCAACATGTGTTTGTTGATATATACCGTAATAGCCACATATGGCTATTAGTTCATAATTATTATTCTATGTGGCTATGATTCATTGAGATCAAATGTCTCTAGTCTTTCTAACCCCAAATCGATACATTCAAAAACTCATTTGTTCTAAGACAATTGTTTACCTATGAGACAGGTGGCAATTAATAAAAAAAAAGTGTGCTGTGATACAAATCCTATCTTTTACACAGTTCTGTATGAAAAAAACCAACACAAAAAAGGCAGAGCTTATATTGTGATGTCATTTCATCAATTTGGCAACATCAAAATAAATGGGCACAACCTGAAATGGAAAGAGAGAATAATACAGTCAGATGTGCCCAAAGAACATGTTCTGGAATAAGCTCAGGCCAACATCAGGAAGGAAGGAAAAATTAGATATGAACTTTACATTTCCTATCATTTGTGGGAAGAAGTTTAATGAACCATCACTTCTTCCTTAATGACTGAATCATATAAGGTATATGTGATGCCGGCTGGGGAATTCTGGGAGTTGAACTCCACAAATCTTAAAGTTACTAAGGCTAGACACCCTGGTCTAGGGCCTCATGTGTTCAGTGTATTGTAAAACACTTTCAGCAATGTATTTCTGTGCCAATGCAGCCTTAGAGAGTCCACTGTGAATGCATCACATTCCAGTGTCCAAATGTTTAAGGATATGTGCCTACCTTTTATGGTTGGTGTGTGGAATTCAGTTTACTACAGCATGGAACCCAGATGTGGCTGAAAAACAACACTGACATGCAGTTCAATCAACTCTTTCTTAGGTTGCATAATGCTTTTACATCATTAAGTCCAGAGATGATGGATAACATGAAAACAGTTCTTAAAAACAGTATGAATTATTGTTATTGTTATTTTATTCATTAAACATGGAACTCAGTCAATGGAACATTTAAAAATGTATCACAAATATCATTGACTAGCTCTGATGATTGATATGGGTTGCTGCCACATCCTAGGTATCAACCAAGCATCTTCTTAAAATATACGATGTTCCGAGTTGTGCAGTTTTTTGCAGTTCCACTGGTAATGTTATTATTGTTGTTGTTTTCAAAATATTGGTAAAATCTCTATGTCCGTGTACATAGAGATTTAAAAAATACTTTTTAAGTATTGGTACCCACTGAGATCCATTTGCATTAGTAATTAACAATAGACCTAAAGTGAACACATACAAAAATGTTCATGGTGCAAAATTAAGCACAATTAAATAATTAAAAATCCAGCAACAATAACACAAGTTCATCTATAACTTAAATCACATAGCCACTAGGTGTCATCAGTGAGATTATTTTGAAAATTATCATTTTGGAATTGATTGTATTTCACTAGCAAGACAACCTGTTGCCTTTTTACTCTGAGTCAAGTCAAATTGTATTTAACATACAGTTGTTCTGCTTCATAGCTTCACAGTTTTCAGTCCCAGAAAACCCAGTGACTGAAACATGCCGAGTAAGCAATACATTTGCATGAAAGAGATACAAAACAGAAAAAAGTGCCAGCATGGCTCTGATTAAGAATAAATTATTAATATAAACCTTAATGCAGATCTTAGGGTGGAAATAAGACTTAGGAAATTGAGCTCTACTCTCTCTAACAGCAATGAACCACACCTAGTTCACATGAGCAGGTATATCTCATTATTGTGGCAGGCAACTGCTGAATAAAGAATGCATTACTCAACAGGAAAGTACCATATTTCAGGTCAAAGGCTTTTATTTGTAACACTAGACAGACATATGCATGTTCATACTTATATCACTATCATCAAGTAAGTTTCCCAGAAATGCCTACATAAATGAAATATTGTTCCCATAAATAAGAAAATATAGCAATTTTAATGAGCATTGTTGATCTACTTCAGCCTGAAATCTACTTTCTACATGAAATTGGGTGTTTCATCATGCTATTCTGGTATCCAGGGTGGATCTAAAACTTTAGATGTTACGATCCTTGTTAAATGTTTGCAAATTGCTACTTCTACCAGCAGTTAATGTCACAGTTCAGAAATCCCCTTACAGCTTTCTTAGATACTTGGAGGAAAAAAAATCCTAGTTAATGGAAAAAAGAATTTTATTTTTTGTAGCACAGAATACGAGATAATTTTATTAACATATTTGTACCGGTATATGTTGCAAAGAAAGCCTGAAACTTCTGTTTATTTCTTTTTTATCTTTCTTTCTTTTTGCACTTGTGTCTTTTCTTTATCACTCTTTTCCTTTCTTCTTGTTTTGTTTTACTTTATATGAGTTTCCATTAGATTTTACCCTTTTAATAATTTTAATAAAATTTAGGGATATATAAAAGAGAAATCTTCCAGCTCTCATAAATTTCCCACTGATGCAAAAATTTCCCTTAAGACCCCCGCCCCCCATTAACCCTGTGTCTTTCTTGAAGATGGCCATAAAAATTCCTTTCCAGCTCCTATTATCTTATCCATTTCAACAAAACTATTCAAAGAGGTGATGGCAGTTAGCTGCAGGTTCTCATGGAATAATCTCTGCTCATTTCAATCCATTATCAATCTCCTTTTTTAATTTGCACTAATAACTGTTATGGAGAGAAATTGCTGTAAACCATTCTCATGCCTGGGAAGCTGATACCTCTTCTATTTTGAATTTAGACTTTCTTGTCCTCCTAAAACAGTTTAATCAGCATAGATTCAGCATTCCCTGCTTCATCTACTGTGATGATTTGTGGACATAGATATTTCGAACATGCTAAATCATATTTTAATAAGCTTCCAGGTTATTGTATGTATTATAGTTGAGGTTCCCACTGAATGTGACTTATAAATTCACCTAAAGCAGAATAGATTTGCC